ATGGTTCCAAAAAAGCATGACATCATATGCCCAATGGTGTAAATTGGTTACATAATAATTTACTGAAACTTAGGGTTGCAAGTCTATGATTCAGATAAGACATTGTAATGGGGATATTCACTGGGACATTCTGTGGTAAAGAATTGAAGAAGATGAAAATTAGGGAGGCAGAATTCAATCAATATTCCTCAAAGTACAATGAGAATGAATTTTTAAAAAAAAAAGATTAAACTAATGAAGTTGTTAAGTGATCATATACAAAATGATGTAAATCTGACTGTCATATGTTGTCATGTTTCTAAGAGAGGAATGGAACAACTAGAATAGACAGCTAACAAAATCAGAAATTGCTGGAAAAAGTCAGCAGAGTCATAGAGCCATAGAACTGTACAGCATGGAAACAGACCCTTTGATCCAAGTCATCCATGTCGACCAGTTATCCTAGATTAATCTAGTCGAATTTGCCAGCATTTGGGCTATATCCCTCTGAGCCCTTCCTACTCATGTGCCCATTCAGATGCCTTTAAATGTTGTTATTGTACCAGCCTCCACCACTTCCTCTGGCAGCTCATTCCATACATGCACCACCCTCTGTGTGAAAATGTTGCCCCTTAGGTCCCTTTTAAATCTTTCCTCTCACACCTTAAACCTATATCCTCTAGTTTTGGTCTCCCCTATTCTGGGGAAAAGACCTTGGCTATTTACCCTATCCATGCCCCTCATGATTTTATAAATCTGTATGAGGTCATCCCTCAGCCTCTGATGCTCCAGGGAAAATAGCCCCAGCCTATTCAGCCTCTCCCTATAGCTCAAACCCTCCAATCCTGGCAACATCCTTGTAAATCTTTCCTGAACCCTTTCAAGTTTCACAGGAGGTTGGGCAGCATTCCGACAGAGAAAGCAGAGGTAATATTTCAGGTCCAATGACCCTTCTTCAGAACACAGAGTTCTGAAGAAGGGTCACTGGACCCAAAACATTAACTCTGCTTTCTTTGCACACATGCTGCCAGACCTGCTGATTTATTTCTCCAGCAAATTCTGATTTTGTTGTTTCAGATTTCCAGCATCTGCAGTTCTTTGAATTTTTTTTACAATAGAGAGTTGTAACACAAAAATTCTACACATTACAATGTCAATAAAGGGGGTTATTGGAACTCCTAAATGTCAGGAAATAGTCATTCTTAGGTAAGACAGAGATGCAGAAAATTGTGACAGCCTCTACATAACAGGAGAGAACTTCAACGCTCAGATCTTATCATAGGCAAAATCTACAAGGACCTAAAAATGTTGTATTCATGATGCAAGGCAGTCAAACCATTTCCCTCAATGCATTGCTCGGGAGAATATAGCAGCAGCTGCAACACATCAAAAGTATGCAGGGGAAACCTGGATTTCAAGTTCACATGCAGATGCGGAGCGAGAGAGCAGAGGATGTCTGAGCCAATTCTCATTGCCAGTGCAAAAGAACTGGAAAACCACAAACCAAAAGGAACTTTGTATTGTAAAACACACAGGACCTGATTTGTACTGTTGCAGTAAATATTCCATGGACACAGATTTTAAAGAAGAGCTTACTATTTATTGTTCTGAACACCAAAGTGTGCCTAGATATCAGAACAAATGGAAACACTCTGAGATAACAAGGTGTAGAGCCGGATGAACACAGCAGGCCAAGCAGCATCAGAGGAGCAGGAAGGCTGACGTTTCAGGCCTAGACCCTTCTTCAAAAATGGGGGAGGGGAAGGGAGTTATGAAATAAATAGGGAGAGAGGGGGAGGCGGATAGAAGATGAATAGAGGAGAAGATAGGTGGAGAGGAGACAGACAGGTCAAAGAGGCGGGGATGGAGCCAGTAAAGGTGAGTGTAGGTGGGGAGGTAGGGCAC